CAATAAAACCACTAATGCTTCCCACTTAGCCAAGCTCTTCTTTAAAGAAGTTGTATGCTTAAATGGGTTACCTACTTCCATTGTCTCTCATAGAAATGTCAAATTTATTAGCTATTCTTTAGAAGACACTTTGGAAACTCTTTAGAACCTAATTAAAATTCTCTTTTGCCTTCCATCCTCAAACTGATGGCCAAACTGAGGTAACTAATCATAGTCTGGGTAACTTACTTTGAAGTATAGTCAGAGATAAGCTAGGGAATTGGGATTTAATCTTACTTACAGCCGAGTTTGCATATAATAGTTCAGCCAATCGATCCACAGGAAAAAGCCCTTTTGAAATAGTCTAAGGTTTTAACTCGAAACAATCTATTGACCTGGTACCCCTTCCTGAAACAACCTGTACTTCTAAATCTATAGAATCTTTAGCATAATGCCTTCATGAGTTACATGCTAAAATTAAGAGCAAGTTAACACTTAGTAGTGATCAATATAAATTATTAGCTGATGCTCACGCTCAAAATTTTAATGAAAGTGACTATGTTATAGCTCGTATTCGCCTTGAGCATTATCCTAAACATTCTTTCAAAAAGTTGTATGCTCGGGCCTCTGGACCATTTCACATCCTCAAGAAACTTAGTCCTAATGCTTACTTACTTGAATTAGCTCCTGATATGTCTATTAGTCTAGTTTTTAATGTTGAGGATCTTGTTTCTTATCGAGGTGCTTTTGAGCCTCCCTTACTGTTTAGTGATGATTCTGTGGGTATACAACCTCACAATGCCCCAATCCCTTTATTGCCAAATGTTCTACCCGCTAGGAACAAGATTGATATGGTCATGGATAAACAAACTGTATTAACAACCAATGATCCTATTCATCACTACCTTATTCATTGGAAAGACTTCTCAGACTCATATGCTACTTGGATTGTTGAAGAGGAGTTTCACCAGATTGATCCCACCTTGCTCAAGTCTTACCAAATCCATACCTCTCTAGAGGAGAGTTCTTTTGAGTTGGGGGGAAATGATGGGAAAAAAGTTAAAAAGAAATAAATGAATATATTACAAGGATGTTGCCAATTTGAAGATTGAAGATATTTTGCTCTCATATTAATTACGTATATTTTGTTTTATTTTGAATTGATTTGAATTATTATTATCTTTCAGCATCTATCATTATCTTTTCAATTATTGTTATCTTTTTATTTAATTTTAAAATTTTTAGGATTTTCATACACTTATTTCTAGGGTTGGGTTGAGGCCTATAAGTAGCACTCAACTCATTTGATTTGTACGCATATTTGATTGAAGAAGAATATCTATTATCTCGCCTTTCCTTTTGAGTTTTCTCTTCTCTCTATTATCTCTATTGATCCCTTTCTTTCTTTTCTATATTCTCTCCCCCTTCTCCTTCCCTGTTCTACATTAGTACTAGTTGACATTTTGGTCATGCTAGCTACTAAGACTCCATGTAGTATTACAGCATTTGGAAAAGTCAACCTTAGAGGCTAACTTACGTGAAGCAACATTTCTTGGCTTTAACAACAAATGGGTTGATTCAGTTTGGGCAAGAGTTTTTGGTGTGGACGTATCTGATGTCTTAGCAGCTAAAGACAAAATTCAGATCATAAAGGTGGAGCTTGAGACATGTGACATTGCCTTAGAACAAGTTCAAAAGCAAAGAGTGGAAGCTGAAGAGGGGCTTACAGTGGTAAGAAGACAATTGGAGATGGCATAAAGTGAGTTTGAAGCAATTGATTCTCGATAGTTGGGTCTCTTAAAAGATCGCAAGAAATTGATAATGAAGATGAAGGAATTAGGAGATATAATAAGTTCAATGGATAGACCCTTTGGCATTTTGGTGTGCTTACTTTGTGCTTTCACTAGTGCAAAAGAGAGTTTTAATGACACACTTTTAACCACAGTTATAGAAGTAACTGTGGTTATAACATACTCAATGGCAATTGTAGTAATTAAAGCTAGAAACTACACAACTAAAACCACAGTTAAAAGAAACAAATGACGTTATAACTATAAAAAATTTAATTAATAATTATTTCAAATTTAAGTTATATATATAAATAAGTTAAAAAAAATTTTAAATGAATTAAATGACATTGATACAATTAAAAAAATATTTAAAAAAAATAAAGGATATCACGACAGGCCATTTAATGGCCTGCTGTAATCTACCAAGCAAATTAAAAAATAGATTTTTTTTAAAAAAATTATTGGATACCATGACAAGCCATAAATGGCTTGTCCTGCTATCATAACATATGATTGGGTAATCATGACAGGCATAAATGTGCCTGTCGTGATATCATTAATACATAATTAAAAAAATTATTTTTAAAAATGGTGATGGATATCATGACAGGCATTAATGTGCTTGTCGTGATATCATTAAGTCATAATTAAAAAAAATTATAAGAACTTGCCCGTGATGGATATCACGACAAGTATTAATGTGCCTATCGTGATATTATTAAGTAATAATTTAAAAAAAAATTAAAAAGCCGTTGTAGCCTTGGGTTATTTATTTCACGACAGGCATTAATGAGCCTGTCGTGATATTATTAACTAACAAAAAAAAAAAATAAACTCCCACCTCATTTAGTGGATATCACGACAAGCATTAATATGCTTGTCATGATATATTTATTAACGCTAAGTCCAAGTGGACCTGTCGTTAATTATTAATTACATTCACAACAAGCCATAAATGGCCTATCGTGAATAATACAATATAGTGACAATTCCCAAGGGAACTATTATATTGTAATTACTTTTACCTAGCCTCGTCTTTCGCAGTCATTATTTCCCCACAGCTCCACCGCCCCTACTGACCTCCAGCTCACCGCCTCCTTTGCTCCCAAGCTTGCATCCCTCAGCTCACGCCCCCAACACCCATTAGCTCTCTTACCCCTCAGCTCGGTCCCTCAACGCATTCCTCTTAGCTCTCTCTTGCTTAGCCTTGAGGCACCTTTAGCTCACCCTTAAGCTCTCGTCCGTCTGCAACTCAACTCACCCCATAGCTCGCCACGCAGCTCGCCTTTAGCTCCTCTGTGCACAGTGTCTTTCCCTTAGCTCAACCACCAACTTCCGTTCATCCAGCTCACCTCTCCAGGTTAATATTTATTTTTTAAATATTTTTTGCCTTTTACTTTCTTTACATGTCCAGCGCGCTTTAATTTTTTTAAGCTTCTTTAAATTTTTAAAGCTTCTATGGATTAGACATTAGGGTATTATCAATATCCAACACAGTTTTGTTAATTTATTTTATATAAATTATGGAAAAATTGTATTTTTTGATATTTTAATTATCAAATAATTACTTAAAAATTAAACCTTGAATTAAGTATTTCATTCCTTGAGATTTACATATTTCAATTAGGTAATTATTTTTTAGCTTGAATGGGTGAAAGACATTGAATTAGTTGTTCTTAGAATTTATAATTGTTGTTTATTTATTCACGTTTGTTAAAATTGTTCAAATAGGTAATTGTCAAATAATTACCTAAAAATTAAACCTTGAATTAATTATTTCATTATTTAATATTTGCATATTTTAATTAAATAATTATTTTTTAGTTTGAATGGGTGAAAGACCTTGGATTGTTTTTTTTTAAATTTATAATTATTGATTATTTATTCACGTTTGTTAAAATTGATCAAATAGGTAATTGTCAAATAATTACCTAAAAATTAAATCTTGAATTAATTATTTCATTCTTTGAGATTTTTATATTTTAATTAAATAATTAATTTTTAGCTTGAATGGGTGAAAGACCTTGAATTTTTAATTTTAGAATTTATAAATATTGATTACTTATTCACGTTTGTTAAAATTGGTCAAATAAGTAATTGTTAAGTAATTACCTAAAAATTAGACCTTGAATTAATTATTTCATTCTTTGTGATTTGTATATTTTAATTAAATAATTATTTTTTAGCTTGAATGGGTGAAATGCCTTAGATTGTTTGTTTTTAGAATTTATAATTATTAATTATTTATTCACGTTTGTGAAAATTGGTCAAATAGGTAATTGTCAAGTAATTACCTAAAAATCAAACCTTGAATTAATTATTTCATTCTTTGAGATTTGCATATTTTAATTAAATAATCATTTTTTAGTTTGAATGGGTGAAAAACCTTAGATTGTTTGTTCTTAGAATTTATAATTGTTGATTATTTTTTCACGTTTGTTAAAATTGGTTAAATAGGTAATTGTCAAGTAATTACCTAAAAATTAAACCTTAAATTAATTATTTCATTCTTTGAGATTTTTATATTTTAATTGGGTAATTATTTTTTAGCTTGAATGGGTGAAAGACCTTGAATTTTTTTTATTTAGAATTTATAAATCTTGATTATTTATTGACATTTGTTAAAATTGGTGAAATAGGTAATTATCAAGTAATTACCTAAAAATCAAACCTTGAATTAATTATTTCATTCTTTGAGATTTGCATATTTTAATTAAATAATCATTTTTTAGCTTGAATGGGTGAAAAACCTTAGATTGTTTGTTCTTAGAATTTATAATTGTTGATTATTTTTTCACATTTGTTAAAATTGGTTAAATAGGTAATTGTCAAGTAATTACCTAAAAATTAAACCTTGAATTAATTATTTCATTCTTTGAGATTTTTATATTTTAATTAGGTAATTATTTTTTAGCTTGAATGGGTGAAAGACCTTGAATTGTTTTTTTTTAGAATTTATAAGTCTTGATTATTTATTGACATTTGTTAAAATTGGTGAAATAGGTAATTATCAAGTAATTACCTAAAAATCAAACCTTGAATTAATTATTTCATTCTTTGTGATTTGCATATTTTAATTAAATAATTATTTTTTAGCATGAATGGGTGAAAGACCTTGGATTGTTTATTCTTAAAATTTATAATTGTTGATTATTTATTCATGTTTGTTAAAATTGGTCAAATAGGTAATTGTCAAATAATTACCTAAAAATTAAACCTTAAATTAACTATTTCATTCTTTGAGATTTGCATATTTTAATTAGGTAATTATTTTTTAGTTTGAATGGGTGAAAAACCTTGAATTGGTTGTTCATTAGAATTTATAATTGTTCATTATCTATTCACATTTGTTGAAATTGGTCAAATGGGGGTTTAGTACCCAAGAAATGTCAATTTATAAATTGTTATGCTGCCGAATTTTTTTTTTAAATTTCAAAAAATAAAATAGTTGTTTATATTTTAATTAGGTAATTATGAATCGTAGTTGGATAGATTCTTTACGGACTAGTGATGAATATGAGAGGGGGTAGACCAATTTTTAGAGTTTGCAAAGAATGATATTCCTAATAATAAAGGATTATTCTATTATCCATGTGTTAAGTACTTGAATGGGTTGTGATGAAGTCTTGTAGAGATAAAGGATCACCTAATTTGTTTTGGTTTGTACAAAGCGTATACATAATGGGTATTGCATAGAGAATCTAGAAAACGTAGTGTAGTGCCACAGGATGAGAATCATGATGATATGGATTTGTTTGATCGAATAGAGGATATGCTAAGTGATATTGGTGTTGAAAGTGTTGAGAAAGTACACAAATATGATAGCTTGTGCAATGATTCGAAAAAGCCTTTGTATCCAGGGTGCATAAAATATACACAATTAACAGTTGTGTTGAAATTGTTCAACCTAAAGCAAAATATGGGTGGAGCAACAAGAGTTTCACAAAGTTGCTTAAACTATTAAAAGAGATGCTTCTAGAGGATAATGAACTTCCAAGTAGTTACTATGAGGCAAAAAAAATATTGTGTCCAATGAATTTGGGGTATCAAAAGATATATGCTTGCCCCAATGCCTGTATATTATACAAAAATGATTTTGAAGGGTTGGATGTGTGTCAAGTTTGTGGGGCATCACGCTACGAAGTAAAAGAAATGAATGGTGGTGATGATTTGATTACTAAAAGGCCTCCAGCAAAGGTGTTGTGGTATCTTCCAATAATACCAAGATTTAAACAGTTATTTTCTAATGAATTCAAAACCAAGAACTTGAGATGGCATGCTGATGAGCGGAAAGTTAATGGCATGCTTCGGCATCCAGCAGATTCTCCACAATGAAAAGAACTTGATCGATTATTTCCTGAATTTGGTAATGAGCCTAGAAATCTTAGGCTTATACTTTATATAGACGGGATGAATTCTTATAGAAATCTTAGTAGTCAATATAGCTCATGGCCTGTTCTACTAGTGATTTATAATCTCCCTCCTTGGTCATGCATGAAATGCAAATATATCATGCTGTCTTTGATGATTTCTGGCTCAAAACAACTAGGAAATAACATAGATGTTTACTTAGCTCCATTGATTGAAGAGTTAAAGATGATGTGGGAGGTAGGTGTAGATGTCTTAGATTCATACAAGAATGAGTCCTTCAAATTACGAGCTATAATTTTTTGCACGATAAATGATTTCCCTGCATATGACAATTTGTCTAGATATAGTGTTAAGGGGCATAACACATGCCCTATTTGTGAAGAGAACACATCCTATCAATAACTAAAACATGGGAAGAACAGAGTCTATCTTGGTCACCGAAGATTCTTAAGACGAGACTACCCTTATCATAGATATATATAGACGAAGAAATTCAATGGCTCTCAAGAGTATAATGAACCTCCAGTGCCATTAACTACAAGCTTGGTGTATCAACGAGTGAAAGATATCAATATGGTATTTGGTAAGAGACAGAAGAAAAAAAACTCAAAATAATTTATGGAAGAAGAGGTCTATCTTCTTTGATCTCCCCTATTGGAGTAGCCTTGAGGTGAGGCACAATCTTAATGTAATGCATGTGGAAAAAAGTGTTTGTGATAGTCTAATTGGAACATTGTTAGACATAAAGGGAAAGACTAAGGATGGAGTCAAAGCAAGAAGGGACTTGCTTGACCTGGGAATACAAATAAACTTGGGTCCAAGAGTAGAAGGAAAGAGAACTTGCATGAGTCCAGCTCCACACACTTTGTCAAGAAAAGAGAAAAAAAGTTTTTGTGTGTGTCTGTGGTATTAAGGTGCCATAAGGATATTTTTCGAATGTCAAGAATATTGTCTCCATGAAAGATTTGAAATTAGTTGGTTTGAAGTCTCACGATTGCCATGTATTAATGTAACAATTATTACTAGTAGCAATTCGAGATATATTGGAGGAAAAGGTGAGTAAGGCAATTATCAGATTATCTATCTTCTTCAATGCAATTTGTGGCAAAGTCATTGATCTTGAGAAATTAAATGACTTGCAAAATGATGTTGTTATTACCTTATGTCAACTTGAGAAGGCTTGTTCAACAAGTTACTAAAGAGGTATGAAAATTTTATAATTTTAAATATTTCTTAATTAATATGGTAGATGTTTCTAATTTTGATTATATATTAATTAGAAACTTCAACAATCAAAAGAATCATTGGGTTCCAATCCCCAACCAGTTTGAGATGACTTGAAACAGTTAGCTTTCATGATTGTTGACATGAATGAATTTACTGATGAAATACAAGTAAATGAGAAAATTGTTGGGAAGGATATTACTTTTCAAGTCGCCAGAAATGATATTAATGCTCTCATTATTATGGAGTGATTGGACGTATCAATAATACAAGTTTTTATCATGTAAGTGTTTTTTTTATTTCTAATTTAATATTTAATATTTTTTTATTGTTAATATTTTTGTTATGATCAAAGGTTCCCCTACAAATTGTGCATCCAACTTGATGTTAGTCATTATTATAGATTCTTATCTCCACTCTTAACATCAATTGAGAAACCAAATCAAAAAGCATCTTATATTGGAAGTGCGATGAATAAGTTAAAGAAGAAGTGTTTTTTTTGCACCAATTGTTGGAAGGTATCAAACATCCTATTCATCTCTCTATTTATAAAATATTTTCATAATTATATGATATTAATATAAACTAATATTTTGTAGCAATCATTGGATGCTTCCCATCATTTGTCCCCATGAAAATACTATATATTGGTTTTGTTTATTACAATGGGAAGTAAGCAATGAAATGAAGTCATTGTTTGAATCGTAAGTATCTTGAATAATTATTTTGTGATATTATTAGCATCTTTTTAACATATTTTAAGTGTGTATATTTGAAAAATAGATCTTTACATTATTATTGGAAGTTGGGGGATATAGTTGATAAGAAAAAAAATGAAATCAAGTGGGTGCCCACACAAATAAGCATTTTAAATTCTTTTCCAAATTAGAATAAAGATTATAATATTGATCTGATGAATTGAATTAGTTTTAATTTCTTTAACAGTGTGCTCGACAACTAAGAAGTGTAGAGTGTGGTTATTATATGATGATTTTTATGTATAAAATCATCACTCAAGGCATTACCCACTCATTTGAGAAGGTAATAATTTGTTAAAAATAATTTATATTTTACACTTTATCCTATACTTGAATTAATATGCATGCACATATTTTTATTCATATGCAGCATTTTAATAGTTTAGAGTCATTTTCCAAACAAGAGCTGAGACATATACAGAATATGTGGTCTACTTACTTTTTAGAATTGATAAGTTAGAATAGATAATTAGATAGATGTTTGTATTGAATATGTAGAAATTTCAATGGATATGCTTGTAATTGTCTCTAGGGCTGCTGTTTATGTATAAATACAGGCTTTTGTAAGTAAGGGATTGAAAAAATACCAAATACGCACTCTTTAAAAAAAAATTACACATACCGCGACAGTTGTGTATTGAACGATGGTAAAATATAACATTTCACAACAGTTTTCACTAGAACTGTCGCGAAAAGAAACACTTTTCACAACAAACTGTCACAAAAAATTTACTTTTTGATATAGTTTTGGTGATAACTGTTGCGAAAAATTCCCACAATAGCCTATTTCCAGACTATTTTTCGTGACAGATGTTATTATAAGTGTCGTAAAAAATTACAAATACAATGACAGTTGTATTAATAACTGTCATGGTAAGTTAATGCTTTTTTCCATAGTCCTTATAAGACTGTCGTGAAAGGTGTCAACTTACAACTATACTTGTTTTCACTACACCGCTTTTTATGTTGCGAAAGTTAGTTTTCAACTATCGCCAAATATGTTTTTTGCACTAGTGTTTGTTATTTCATTTGCCTCTTCAAAGACTAAAATGAGTACTGAACCATAATGCATATGATATGGACCAATAATATTTCCCTATATTCAACTAAATAACAAGACAAAGTTTATTAAACTCTAATTATTGTACGGATAAATTTGACATTTTGTTTGATGGATGATCTATTTCTATTATTGATAATGATTTTTAGTAGTTATACATGTGAACTGTGTACCCTAACATCATGCTTTTTCCATCATATATATATATATAGTTTTCAACTATCGCCAAATATGTTTTTTGCACTAGTGTTTGTTATTTCATTTGCCTCTTCAAAGACTAAAATGAGTACTGAACCATAATGCATATGATATGGACCAATAATATTTCCCTATATTCAACTAAATAACAAGACAAAGTTTATTAAACTCTAATTATTGTACGGATAAATTTGACATTTTGTTTGATGGATGATCTATTTCTATTATTGATAATGATTTTTAGTAGTTATACATGTGAACTGTGTACCCTAACATCATGCTTTTTCCATCATATATATATATATATATATATTATAAGGTTCATTATAAATTACAAACTTCTATTCTGAATCCTAGCTGGTGTTTATAATCTCTTCCTAGATGGTGTTAACATTAATATGACTCACCTTAATATTTCATTTGTCACATGGTATTCAAGTGTATTATTTTCTTATACCACTAGGATTCCATACTCAGCATCATCCACTTCATTGGCACTCACTCAGACTATATTACAGCTGATCTATCTCATGGATCATCACACCCTAGAGAATCGCTCAAATCTTAGTAGACAATTCCAATATCTTAGCTAGATGTCACAACTACGATAAGTTTGTATCTTACAACGGTAACATCTACATATTTTGTAATAAGTGTTTCATATTATTTTGGACTCTTGTTGCTTTGTATATTTCACCATCCATTATCTTCTTGACATCCTACAAGTCTAGTATTCTAAAACTATAATTTAAATTAATATTACTATATGTTTTTACTAAAATATATCTAAAACATAATATATTGAGCAAATGGAAAGACTTTATTATGTTTTTTATTAATTTTAATTTCGTATATATATATATATATATATAAAATATTTTAAACATACTACAATACTATACTTTAAATAAATTTTATCAAAGTATATTTAAAATAGGCCGAAAGGCCTATCAAGGGCCTATGACTTGACTTGATTTAATATTAGTATAGTCTATTTAATAAAAAGATTACACTCAAGCATATAGCCAAATATTTAAATCTATACCTTTATATAAATAGGTTAGGTTTATTTAACTAAAATTCGACATATACTGACCTTTTTTTTTATTGAAAACAATAATAAAATGAAACTAGAACACAATATAACAATTTTTTTTTTTAATAACAAGGAAGGCAAAGCCTTAATAAAAAAAATAGATGATTAGCTACCCCGGTTCATATAGCCATTAAATAAATCATGATTCACGAGACTCCTAAAAATACAACTTAGAACTTAACCAATTCTGACCAAAAAAAAAAACCTTAACCAATCACTTATCATTCACTGCCTATAGATTAAAAAAGGCCTCTCCTCTTAAAGTTACTTTAGCCGTAAATTAATATATTCAACTACCAATAATTATGCGTCCAATAAAACAGAAAATTATGCATCCTGCTAGTTGCTAAGTGATAACAAGAAAACAAAAGGTTATTTCCCGTTTTCTTTTGTTTTTTTTTTTTTTTTTGTAAAACGTAAGTAGAGTTTGGACTCTAATTCTTACCTAATTTTATCCAACTTCCACGACTTAAACCAAGATCTATGAATTAATGAAGTTACCCTAGTGAACCATTCAATCATATCCCTTGATATCTCTCAGATTTATAAAGAAATTGAGGAGGTGGATAAAAGATATTGAATGAATGCAACAGCGATCATTAATGAGAGTGCGAGTGTATCTATTTATAACCAGAAGCATACATCACTTGGTTATATTAGTTACAGTAACTAAACACGTGGGCATACAGCTAGTTAGATTCGAATAAGTTGCAACTAAAAGCCTTCTGTGGAAGGGAGTTACAATAGTGCCACATGTTATATCTTGACAAATTTAGAGATGATCAAAATGGAATCTCATAAACTTGCAAAAGCATGTTGTGATGATGTTTTAAATTGATTTAAATAACTATTTTCTATACATTTTTACTTGGTATGATAGGAAGAGGATGAACAACCAAGGACTATGTCAAATTTGACACATCAATTGACGCTTATAGAAGGAAAAAGTGAAATCAGAATTGGACGGGCAGCTTAATCTTTTAACTGCTGCAGATTAAACAAAGTCTGAGTTGGTTAAAATGAAATTTCTTTAAAGATTATAAAAAATAGGACTTACTTGTATTTGTTTTTTAAATATGGTTAATGCACATTTGATGACTAAACAACAAGCCTTTAGATTCTTGATTCTTGAACATGGAAAAACAGAACTACAGTATACATTCTTTAGTGTCCTTCTTAAAGTTGCAAATGCTAGTGGCAGTAAAATTGCAACTTATTTCTTCTTACTTTTAGATTACTCAAACCACCAAAGATACAGTAGAACAATGTCGTGAAGAGAATTATGTTGAAGCTGATGCCACGTTAGCAGTTCAATCAACTAAGTCAGATTCAAGGAAGCAATCTACAGAACCAATTTGTAACCTCTTTAGAAAATATTTTGCACACGTAAGTTCATGACCCTGATCTAATTATAGAAATTAAAGTATTCTATATGATTTAATTTTTCATTATTCATCATTATGGGAGACAATCACTCTCAAACTTAAATAAGCTTCACAATGACTCTAACAACTAATTATTAACAAATTGCATACGCTCAAATGTTGATGTCTGTTAGAGTGCTAAAGAAACAGCAGCAGGAACTGATACAACAATTGCTGCTACGGAGACATCACCAACGGCAACTCCAATTGAGTCAGAATTCATCAAAACACATGTACATCTTTTGAGCTCTAACATAGTTGTAAACATCAATTTATTTGTAAAAGACAGAACCAAATAATGACAACTATGTGCATTTTCTTTTTGTTCTCAGCAGACTATTAAAGAAGTGAGAGGTTCAATTGTTCAAGTGGAATCTGAATCAGAGAAGCTTGAAAAGACAAACCCTCCTGAAGTTATTCCTTCTGTCGATCAACGTAAGTGTCTTTTTCTATGCGGTGATTTTATGCTCTTTCTTCTCTCAACCATCCACTAACTTTCTAGGCTATAACAGAATCACAAGTTGCTAATGCTGGCACTTCTCCTAAATTGGGGGTTTGTGAGATTTTCCAACTTGTGGAGCTGAAACATAGTGAAACAGCTTTACTTGCACAAGCACTTGAACAATACCCTCAACTATTGTTACCTCATGAACATCGCTCACATCGTATGATAGCTTGGTCCTACCGAGTTTTGGTTGATATTTTGGTTGTGCTAAATACCAAGACTCCTTGTACCATCACAATTTCAGAAAAGTCAACCTTCGAGGCTAACTTATGTGATGCAACCTTGCTTGGGTTTGACAACGACTGGGTTGATTCAGTGCGGGCTAGAGTTCTTAATGTTGACTTGTCTGATGTCTTGGCGGCTGAAGAGGAGATTCAAGTCATGGAGGCCGAGCTTGAGACATGTGACATTGCCTTAGAGCAAGTTCGAAAGCAAAGAATAGAAGCCAAACAGAGGCTTGCAGTGGTAAGAAGACAGTTGGAGATTGCACAAACTGAGATTGAAGCCATTGATTCTCAATTGTCAAGTCTCCTCGAAAATCACAAGAAATTGCTGACGAGGATAGCTGAGTTTAGAGAAATAATAAGTGCCAAGGATACACCCTTTGGCATTTAAGTGTGGGTTTGGTTAAGTTCTTTTGTTATTTCATTTACGTTTTTAAAAAGACTAAAAAACAGTGAACCATAATGCATATGATATGGACCAACATTTCTCTATGTTCAATAAAATAAGAGGACCGAGCTTGAACTCTGATGCATGGATTAAAATTCGCCCTTGTATGATTAATGAACGAGCCATCTCTATTATTGGCAATGATTTATCAATTGCCCCCAAAGCTGACGAGTCTTCTAAAAAATGAAGGGAAACAGAGTAAAATCATTAGGATCATTTATCTTGTCTGAAAGTGCTCTTTTAAGCCATCTATACTAGTTAATGAAATTTAAATTTGGTATCCTTCAAATTACTTGAACATTTGAAATTGTTAAATATCAATTTTATATGATTTGAGAGCTAAGCTCGCTTTTGGATATTAATATTGCTAGTTATCTGGCTAATTGTAGAAATGCCTTGATGTCCAGTTGTTAAAAGAGGCTTATTATTATTCTATAATATGATAACGATGACTTCAAGTGTTGTTTATGGACTAGTTATATGGGGTATAAAGAAATAGGAGTTTTCTTTTCTTTTTTTCTTTTCTTTTTTTTTTTTTGGCCTTATAATCACATCTTCTACACCATGGCACAAGGTTTATCAATGAGGCGGGATAATTATTATCTATGAGATTGTGTTGAAAACAAATATCTTCTAAAAATAATATTATAATCGTTGATTGGGGGAAAATGACAATTAAGGACCCCCATACTATATGTTTATGCTTTATCATTTTAATTTTTTTTTTGGCAAAAGTGATATTTGATTAATTAAAATTTCATTTTAGATTATCCTACTTGAATGATATATTTTTCTCTTTTAAGGCATGTAGATCTAGAGGGGAGATGTAATGATAGAACTATTCTCAATCGATTGATTTTATTGAAATGAATTAATATTTTTAAAGTTACAAAGAAGTTTTAGAAGGTTTTAGAGAAATGGGGAGACAAGAATGATAGGTCATATTTGTTTTTATCTATAGTCGCTTTTTTTATTGTCAGATTTGTGTAGCTAATAGTTAAGCAAAATGTTAGGAATGAGTTAGTTAAAATTTTATTGCCCTTGTTAAATAAACTACTACCATAATTTAGAAGGAATTAGTTTAATTTGTTAGTTGAAATAAAACTTTTGGAATGCATTTTGTTTAGGAATTTAGTTTTTCCTTAATTACATAAAAAACACGCACTAGCTAATTATACTAAATGAAATAACAGTTAAAATAAAAATTGATTCTCTTTAACATTTGGATGAACGATATTAAGTAGTGGGTCATTGAAAATTCATTAGATCTCTACCTACTCTGATGGTTGAATACGTAAGTTGTGGAATTCCTTCATCTTTTCAATGGGGAAAAAAAAAAGGAAGGTAAATGTGCATTTTTGCTCTTGAAGTATTCTTTGATAAGTACCCAATACCTTAAACTATTGGTTAGAATAATTTTACCACTTAAAGTAATTCAAATGAAGCATTTTGTCCTTGTTAGTAAATTGAATGAAAAGGAAAAAAATGTTATGTTTTAATTAATTTAAAGGCCAAATTATTTTAACCAATATTTTAAATTATTGGGTGCCCCTTGAAGAATACTTTAAGAAAAAAATACACATTTACCTAAAAAATAATTCCGTTGTGTTATTCCTAAGATGGACATTCATTTTATTTTAAATTATTACTAAAATAAAAATAATGATTTGTGCACTTTTCATCGAAAAAGTTGTTATCAATATCATTCATTGTCTGTCTTTGGCGTCATTAAATTTTAGCTTGGTGAACTAGCACAAACTGTTGGTGAAAACTACACGAATTACATGAGACTATTGTGTCATGGAGTGGCAGATCCAGAATCATAACAGTAGGGGGCAAACTTTTTTTTAATAAATAATCAAGGTATTTAAAGAAAACATTTTAATTTTTTTATAACACTCATTATTGATATTTTAAAAAAATAATTCAATAATAATATACTTTTATCTAATTAAATCAAGACATGTAAACTTTAATGTGTTAATAATATTAATAATAATAATTTGTTATTGAATAATTTATCTATAAAAGCTACACATGTCTTGACTTAATTGAAAATAAGCACTTTAAGTTTATAAAGTTTTTCCTAAGTGATACATTCTTTAATGTTTATCATGGATTAAGGTCCATTTTTGTCCATGAATTATTTTCCTAAGAGCACCTAATGTTCTAAATTCTTTATCGTAGTAATGTCATCCTTGAAGTTATTAAATTGTATCTTGATGTTAAATGGCCAAACGTTGAGGGTTAACTTTCCTAACTCAAAAATAGGGTAAATTTAACTTAATTCATAACAATATTGCTCTAAAGTGCAACAATGTTGCCCCAATGTTAAGTCTGAGTCAACAAAGTTAACTATTGACACTTGCCTATTTAACGTTGGGGGTAACATTGTTATATGATTTAATTATTTTAAGGTCAACATTGCTACAATAAATGGTTTAAAATATTGGGTGTTCCTATCAAAATATTTAAGAGGCAAAAATGGATCTTAATTCTTGTTTTTTTTGTTATTAACATTTTATGTATTGTTTCCCGTGTATTTAGTTTCAATACATTTATTGCTTTATAGTAATTTAATTAATATTTTAAATAATATGTTTTTTAAATTTAGTATTTACGTGTAGATTTCGCCCCACCATGTAATTTTTTGACTCTACTGTTAAATATTTTAGTTGATACCCTGCATCTCATTTTATTCCGTCTTGAGTTGTTATATATATATATATATATATATATATAATAAGTTAAAAAACATAAATTATGCTCTTTTTGAATATTAGTTTTCTTTTAAATTATTTTAATTGATACCCTACAAAAGTTGAACTAAAACATCTCGTTTACATTAAAATCCTTAATTTGATCTGTAATTGGTTCAAATCTCAATTTTATATTAATTATTTTAAATATTTAAATAAGTTTACTCATATTTAGATACCGTTATTTTTTAGTTGAAATTGAACATCTATCCAGGAATTTTTTTTAACCTCTAGGTTTGCTAGTGACTGAAGTAGTATGCTACAAATAGATAGTGTTGGGATTGGTGAATTTAAATTTATATTTAAAATTTAAAATTTCATATGACAAATTTCACATTTAAAATTTAAAAATTTAAAATTTTTTTTGTTTGGATAGTTTAAAAAATTTCAAATTTAAATATAGTAATAATGGGCGAATCATTAACTTGGATAAGGATTTTAGTTAATAACTGCTTAATTATATCTGACGTTTTTCATTTTTTTTATTATTTGACTACAAGCATGGGTGAAAATGTTTAAGTCCAACAGGTATCTCATTAATTTAACACCTTGTAAATTACATCATAACTGCCCCCAATCTTATAAATGAAAATATATAATACATTATTCTTGGCACATTTATTTTGTATTTCATGTATTTTACGATCCAATATATCTTTTGGTTCATTGATGCTTTTAATCAAATTTTTTATTCAGATGTAGGACTTAATGATAGAAAGAAAATAATTACATAAGTTGAATATAAGAATCATGCTTTTACCAAGTGATTGGTTGTATATGAATCATGTGCATCAAGCAAAAGGATCGAAACATTTCATACAGTTGAGTGTCTTATTAGACAACCATTAAATTTACAAAATATAAGGCAGATGACACTTTGAAGATGTTCAAAACTAAAGTCCTTGTTCAGTATATCCATTGCCACAACCATCATGTTGGATGTCACGCCTCAAAATATGAAGATGACCGGCATGGGATATATCTCTAAACACACCTCCCTTATGTGTAATTCAAGAAATTTTCTTCTTCTTCTTCTTCTTCTTTTTAAATATTATTTTTTTTCCATTTAAAATAAAACCTTAATATTTTTATGAAAATTCTGGAAAAATCTCCCGTACACATAAGATCTCTTGAAGTTTTATAACACAAATTCTCAAACAAATATCATAACAACCAAGAGCTTGGCTCATTCTAACCAGCAAACGGAATATATATCAAAATAAGGATCCTAGCTATAGCCAATGTAGAGCTTTTAGAATTTAATTTACAAAATACAATTTTACAATTCAAAATTTACATTAAAAGGTAGCTTAATCTACAATTCCTCCACTTCCCAGTCAATGATAAACTCTTCAATGATTCGTAGGAGATTCAACATAAGCTAATGAATCTAAGACCAAAATATTTTCCAGTGAATAGCATCCTCAAAATAGAATTTAAAAGAATTCAAATACTAAACTCAAATAATCATGTAAAATAATTGAAAAGATGATAATTCAACATAATAACTTTAAAAATCTATAAATCATAGTCATAACCATGAAATGAAAGTGAATTTGGAAGCATTTTATTCTATCATACTTAAAAAAATTAAATTACTCACACATAAATCAAAATAGTACATTTGATAATTGAAACCATTGAAATTTCAAATGAACGAGTTTATCAAAATTTAAAAATTTTGAGGACTTAACAGAACAGATAACAAACGTGGACACACAATCCACGAGGGTAAGTAACCAAACGCAGCCGAAGCCACAAAATAAACGTGGACACACAGTTCACGAGAGTGATGCTAACCAAACGAGGCTTGAAGCCACGAAATCAAACGTGGGTACAAAACCTACAAATAACAAACGTGAGAACAAAGCCTACGAAACAAACTAGCTAATTATTAACCACAGCGCGCTACGAGCTAACGAAACTGCCGTTAGCAGCAGTGTTTTGTTTAGAGTCCTCTTGAAAATCACATTTCAAACATGCGAGAAAAGTAATTATTTTTGCAATAAAATTTCCATTCTTAATGCCAAACTCGCATGCATTGTTTCAAATCTCAAAATCTGCCAAAATAATAATTCATAGCTAATGTACAGGCTTGCATTAATTGAGTAACCAAGAATTCCAGAGTTTAATAAACAAAAATGATTTCGTCATTCTTGGAAATATATTTCTTGAGGAAAAATAGATGCACATATCATAATTTAATTGTCCTACATCAATATTCTATAATTTCCAAAACTAATATAATTTACAAGAGTAAAATGTATGAGTAAAATACTATTAAAATAAATTAAATGGAATGCTATTCACTTACCTGTCAAATTCCAAGCTTTCAAATATTTATTCCTTCAAATCATGTCAAGGTTCTTTTCTTTCATACATCCTATAAAGATATGAATAAATGAAATTTTAATAAATTTTCTATAAATTATGAAGATTTCTTTCCATTCCCAACACAATTCCAATCTACCACCATCATTTAAAATGCCAAGACCAAAATTCATGCTTTAGAATTTGTCCAAGTATTATGATTTATATCACTAATTTCCTCCATATTTCTTTAGACATGCCAATCTATTCACTTGAGATATAATTCCCTCTTGGGCTTTGAGTCGAACACCTTAAGTGCATTATTTCCAACCATTCGATGTGAATTTTCTAACCTCCATCTCTACCTAACAATTTATCAATAATTATACAATTTTCAAGAATTCAAATAGTTCACAAGTTTCACAAGCCAATTTCAACACAATGACAAGTTCAATTCACAAAATAACAGCATCAAAGTCAATTATGTCTCCCAAGATATTTACTGAATTTATGAAAATTCAAAATCAAGCAACTCCCTCTGCAAACATTTCCTCAAACATGTTACAGGCACAAATCTTTAAATCAGGTCTAGTCTCTTTTATCCAAATCTCATTCCAGCCATTCTCTCTCTCTTTGATAAAAAAGAAACAAACAAAACAAACATTCCAGCCGTTCTCTCTAACATTAACCAATTTAGAAGAAGACAATTTAAGTCAAAAACTCAGTCCCATTCACATCATTCTGTTTTCAATACAAATTTTCAGCTTTAATTCAACTTCTCCTTGCCTACACAGCTACAGACAGCAGCAGTAGAAGAGAAAAACTTACAACTTAAACTCATAAATCAGACACTCATGCGCACAGGATTATCAAGAAGAAGAGCTTAAAGCTTCACACCTCAAACAGCAACGACAGGGGCAGAGAAGGAGAAGAAGAGAAATGTCTAACACCAACGCTGTAACACAAACAGAGAATGGAAAAGAAACATCATTAATCTGAAGCCAAATCGGGAAAGAATCAATAGCAAAAATGGAAAACAAACTCACGACTTGGAACCTAACAGCAGCAAGTCCTCGGCAAGCGTGAAGGGAAGACGAAGAAGGCACCAACTTGACAGAGTAGTGGTGGACTAAATAGCTACAGATACTGGCGCTGGTGATCTCTGTGAACGGAGAAGAAAATGGCGACAAGACGGGGGAAAAAACGGAGGTAGATTGAAGAATCAGTTAAACCTCTCTGTCTTGACAATTTCTGGAGAAGTTGGAGAAGATGGAGATAAGGAAGACAACGACAGTAAATTCTCACAGTCACCAGCGACGCCAAGGAGGATGAAGGCAGAGATTAATGGATTGAGGGTGAGAGTTTTAGGCGGTGCTCTCTCTCTAACTCAATCTGGAGCTCAAAATGACCGAAAAAGGTGAGAAATATCTGCAGAACACGTGTGGCATTTCTGATCTCTCTTTTCTTTACATTTCTGTATTTTAATTTTATTTTATTATTATTTTTTTCAGGGACAGAATGGTAATTTCGTAACACTGGCAAAAATGAAAAAAATTGTCCATCAGTACATAATGAGGACTCGAACACAAGACCTTATAATGAACACTAATAGAAATTTCATTGAACCACCAATGCATGTGATTATTCTTTTCCCAACAATTAATAAAAATATAATAAATTTATCTTATTATTTGGTCTAGCTTTATGATTATAATATGGGTCATTACATTGGAGGACTTGGACATTGAAGATTGTGAAGAATTGAAGCAGCTAATAACAAATGAAGTAGAGGATGATGGCCGTCTCAATTGCACGTCCATTTTCTCAAAACTATAGAGGCCCAAAATTTGGAGGTACAGTAAGTTAGAATTTATATTTCGATGCACTTTTTTTTGGAGGTCTTCAAAAATTAAAATCTATAGGTATCTACAAAGCTCATGAACTGAAATATGTTATTGGAAAATGCCATGACGAGTGTCTATCAAATGAGAATGAAAACAAGGAGCTCCACATTGATCTTCCTGCATTGGAAACACTATCCCTTGTAGATGTACCAAATATGATGAGCATTTGTGTCAAGAATTATCAACTGGAACGCACATCTCAACAGATTATGGAAGCACCAAAGGTAATGACACTTTTTAACTTGTCATTTTAGCATGTCAATCTTGTTCTATTTTCTGTTGCGAAAATGTATATTCTATTTATTCTCTCTTACAATTTCAATCTTTGAACTTTTACATATAATTGATTTGAGTTAAGCACAATGCAGTCTATGTCAAAACATTCAATATCATAGTTATTTTTTCATAAAAAATATGAGAATATATTTTTCCAGACAAAAAATCATCTGTCAGGTTAAAATCCCTGCACTAGATTATATTGAAAAGTTAATTTGGATATTTGTTGATGTGCCTTTTTTTTGGTTAAAATATGAACATATGAGGACAAGATTTCACTACAGTGTCATGTTGAATGGCCTTTTTTAAAACTAAAAAGGAGCAAAGGAAAACAAAAAGTTGAGAACTGTGTTCTCTTTTCTCTACAGGCAGAAACCTACCATAGTTATTCTACTAGTATACAGCAGATCACTGTGGAGATAGTGAATGTGGTTGAAGATGATTCTAATGATCATCATCAAGTGAACCAAATAGCCCCATTTCCCAAAAACTGAAACATCAAATAAAAATCTGGAATTGCAACCAGCTGAATGTTGTTGGAGATGATTCTGATGATTTTGTACAATGAATGATTGTTAACAAAATATTTAAACATTCTCAAAATAGTGAATGCTTTCTAAGCGATCCAGCTTTATCTTTATACAGATTTCAAGTTTAAATTTAAATAAAATATTTTACAAAAGTAGTATGTGTGTGTTTGTGTTTAGTGGGTGAGTGTATATCTCTCAAGCACAAAAAAATAGAGATGCAAAGAACAACATGCTAAATTTTTTGCCTCAAAATATATGTAATTAGTTAAAAAAAATTTCCTATATATGCATGTGAATAAATTCATGTCAAAATAATTATTTTTTATATTTAAATTGATTTAATTTTTTATAATTATGTGACTATGATATGATATAATATATATATATATATATATGGGTTCGATTTAATTTTTTATAATTATTTGACTATGATATGATATAATATATATATATATATATATATATGGGTTCTCTATAATTATTAACTCATGCCAACACATGCAATATCATCATGAGATTTTCTTTTTTCATAGATAATATATATGAGAATGTACCTTTCATGACAAACCATCATACGTCAGGTCAAAATCTCTACACCAGATATTGAAAAGTTAGTTTTTGAATATTGTTATATCATTAGATAATTTTAACAATATTAATATTATTTTGATATTTGTAAACGTATTGTGTTTATTTATCTTTTTTGTTAAAATATGGCATTATTGAATTTGCACTATTATTGAATTTCACTAAGGTGAGATGTTGAATTTTCACTAATATTGTTATATAATGAACGGTTGTTAACAAACTATTCAACATTTTCAAAACAAAAAATTTATGTTAAAGTGATCTAGCTTTATATTTACATGGATTTCAAATTTAAAATACTTCGCAAAAGTAGAGCCTGTTTTCTGTAGTTTTGTATGTGACAGGGTGAGTGCGTATATCGCACACTCACAAAATATAACAACATTAAATATATAAAATTTGTTAAAAAAACTTCTTTGTATATATACAAGTCAATAGATTAATTTATGTCAAAAAATCATTTTGATATTTAAATTTAAAATTATTTGACTATGGTGTCTGTGTGTTTGTGTGTGTGTGTGTGTGTGTTTATTAATTAATATCAACAGATACAATATCATGCAATTTTTCATTGCTAAATTAAGAATGCTTTTCGTGACAAAAAACTCATCTGACTAAATATTGGAAACTTATTTGGATATTGTTATATCATTAGATAATTTTGTTGATGTTAATAATACTTGATATTTGTAAATGAGTGTATTTTGAATATTAATCCTTTTTTTTTGGGTTAAAATATGATGATATTGAATTTGCATTGTTATTGAATTTCACTAAGGTAGAATGTTAAATTTACATTTCTATCAATCGGAAAACTTGTAGGAAATTAAGGAGCATATGGAAGATGTCACAAGTGAAGCAGCAAAGGAATCTGAAGTACAAGAGATTGTTAATGTTGACAAACCACTCTACCCAAGTGTGGGCACCCAATATTTTCTCAACTTCTGCAATGTGAAAGAAATAAAAATTGCTGGAAACAAAAAGTTGAAAACTATGTTCTCTCTCTCTACATGTAGAAGCCTATCACAGTTGTCTATGTTGGACATAAGTCACTGTGAGGAATTAGTTAATGTTGTTGAAGAAGATTTTAATGGTCATCATCAAATGAACTATATATAGCTCCATTTTCCCGAAACTGGAGCATCTAGAAATCTGGTTGTGCAACAAGCTGGAGTCTATATTTCCTTTCTCTCTGGTTGGTGGTTTTCAAAAATTAAAATATTTGGACATCATGGAAGCTGCTGAGTTTAAATACATTTTTGGGAAATGTATTATAATATGCATTTCCTATGTTTATTTGATTCTTTTTCTTGGAATTTTTCCTTTTGTTACAACGGATTGCTTAGCATTTAAACTTGGACATCAAGAACATATGTTCTTACATAAAAATTTGTCATGTCAAGACATGAAATTACTAAATTTTCATGCATAGATATTTATAATTTAGTTTTCATTTAAAATTCGTGTATGTATGTATATATATATATATATGCCTTTAGTCAAATTCTTAAAGTAGATGTCGTTAATTAAGAAAGTAATTAAGAACCTTAAATTGAATCTAATTATTTCCACTAAATACTTTAAAATAAAGATGCACCATATGTTTACCAATAAGAGCAAGTAAACACGGATCAACTTCTAAAGTACATAGACATTATATAACATTAGGTAGATATAATTAAGCATAATCCATGTCAAAATGTCTCCGTCAGCGTTCCAGGCGTCAATAGATAAACTCTCTCTTTTAATAATCCCTATTGAGACATTCATTAATAATAGTATATATTGAAAATTTGCATAATTTATGAATGCGATAATTTTAATTCATACTGAAATTTTGAATTGATGTATTTTTGTTAGGACGTGATGAAAATTATAAAGGATATGCAGAAGTTGACATATCTTCGAGTAAGCAATTCCAGCATAGAAGATGTTCTTAATTTGGAAGTGGAAATTGAAATCCGGTGACATTAAGCTTAGACAAAATGATTTTCGAAAATCAACGTGAGTTGTGGCATATATGCAAGGGTCCCAAATATATTTTGATCCTCCATAATCTTTGCCAACTATGTATCAAAGCATGTGAGAAGCTAAGAGCAATCTTCTCTGTCTCAATATCAAAAAGCCTCTCACAATTGTCCTTTTTAATGATAAGTGATTGTAATGAATTAGTTGACATCATTGAAGAGAGTGCTGAGGATCATTTGCATCAACTTTGCTTCCCAATGTTAACATCAAGCATTACAATAGATTGAAATGCCTTTTCTCCATCTCAACATCTTCCATGTTTCCAAAGTTAAGGAGATTGAAAATAAAAGAAGCCTCAAAGTTGGAGTAAATATTTAAGTGCAAACAGAATGATACAGAAAACATGGTCCCGAAAGATGTGTTCCCACATATATGGGCAATAACACTCAAAAGTTTGCCAATGCTTGCTACTATTTGCAGTGGGATCAATTTCCAAACTGTGTGATTTCTCGAAGTAATTGATTGTCCCAAATATCAAGGTATGAATTTGAAAAAAAAAAATGTCACTTCTCATAATTGTTAGTTTAAGACTATTAATATTCTATTAAAATTAATATAATATCAAAAAATCTATTGCAGAAATTACTTCTCAACTGCAAGAAGGACCTTCAAATTTGGATTCAAAAAATAAAGCAAAAACAGAGGAGCAACTGTTTGTAAATTCAGATAATGCTCAGGTTGTGCCACATATGGGAGAAACAAGTGGTTCATCATCAAATTTAGCAGAGGTACATTAGACAGACAATTATATGAACAAAGCAAATTTTTACTTTTGATTGCTTGAATCAAAATGTGTTGGAATTAGTGAGCTTAAATTCCAATTTTAATAGACTAACAATTTTTTGTCTTCTCTTTTGCTACTCTTTCCATTCTTGTATATTAAAGGTATTTTTTAACTTATGAATCTTACATACAAATAAAAATTTGTTATTTAATTGGAAATACAAAACCATAACAATTTTTCATTTTTTCCCTTAATAATGTTACAATTAATATCATGGTAGCAGTAAAGCACATAATTAATATCTCTTCTCCTCTTCAAAATAATAATTAGGGCAAAATTATATCCAAATTACTCAAATATATCATGACATATGTATAGGGATGGAGAGAGTAATGAATCAAACTCTTTCAAAAACATATTTTATACATCTAATTTGTTTATTTCTTGTGATGGTTGTAAACTTTCTTTGGAAGAAATGAAAAAAAAATTATTGAAAAAGCTTTCATTTCTATTACATACATACTTGCAGATAGAGATCAAATCCAATAGTTCATATATATTATTCGAAGCAAGAAAAGGAAGCCAATTTTAATAGAAGATGTGGAATAGAACAATGATTTTAGTAGTGCTTATTAATTATGGAACCTATAAAAGAACGGAGGCATTCTGTTGAAGGTACCAAACAGAACAAAGGAATATGCCACATGACTTAGACTAATTTTTTTTTCATTAATATGTACTATAAAAGGTTTTAACCAAAATGCTTAATGAACAAGCTGCAATATTTGATGAAGCTGGGATATAATAACTTACATCAACTGATATTGAGATCCAAAGTTAATTATTGAAGATTTGAAAAAAAAAATACTTGTAACATGTAAGAATGTTGTTGAGTTGAATGTTCTAGACTTATGTTGTTATAGCCCATATATATATATATATATATAGATAAATAAATAAATAAATATAATACTAATAAGGATATATAAGTTGGTGTTTTAATAGTAATAATATTATTTTTGAGAACATGTGCAGCAAGAAGACGACTTGGTGTAGTGGTTATTATATAAGCCCATATATAAAAGGTCTTAAGTTTGAAATCTCTAGAGCACAAGGAGGAATTTTATTTCTGTTGGTTTTAGCCTATATGAAATTACTATAATCCCTCTTCTTCATTTGATAAATTCTCTATTACTTCTTCCTCATCCAGTTGGTGCGCGTGTGCACGCGCACACACACACAGAGAGAGAGAGAGTGTGTGTGTGTGTTCAATATTTCTCTCCAACCTTCTACCATAATCGACCATCCGTCCCCTCTTTACTCCTGGCTATCACTGGCGACGGAGAAGGCTCCCACTGCTCAGTGACGTTCAAACGCTCCTTCATGCGTGTGGACTCTATTTTTTTTTCTCTCCTTCTCAATCTGTTGCTTTTCCTACATCATTCACGTTTGAGTTGTGGATGGAATAAAGGACTAGTTCATTGAGGCTAGAAGGTTTTTCTCACGAGTCTTTCCTTTCCCAGCTCAATCGTGAGCTTTGTGCTCTGCTTTACTGGTCTGTGCTCCTTATTTCTGCATCTTCTCTATGTGTTGTTTTGTCCGTGTTGTTCTGGGCTGAGAAAAACACAAAGCATCAAAACTATAGTGGAGTTGTTGCTGTAAGCTTGTATCGGTGCTGTGGAGTCAGGCTTCTTCCATTGCTGTGCATGGTGACATCGTTTAGATTATATCTCCCCTGTTCAGCCGTTTGTTTCAATTTCTTCATCCTTGTTTTCTGTCGTGGTGAGTCAAGGTGAGAAAGCTTCACGTTTAGGCTTCTCTTGCTCTGTATGCATGTGAACTAGTGATGACAGTAGCAAAAAATTGGCTCCCCTATGGCTGTCTATGACTGTACGTGGCTGAGAAAGAAAATATATATATATATATATATTATGCATGCCTTTTGTTACTGTTGTCCCGTGCTGATATAGGAGGGAGAAGATTCAAATTTAAGTTGGAAGTTTATTCTAAAATTTGATAAATGTGTGTGTGTGTGTGTGTGTGTGTGTGTGTGTGTGTGGGTCATAATCTTTGGAGCTAAATAAATCTAATTTGAATTGAATATGGTTAAAGAAACTATTAAGGAAGGATGGGAAGAGAGTAGTTTGGATATATAACTTAAATAATTAGAATTTATGCACCTAAAGTAATTGGTGCAAAACCTATGAAAAATTTTTTACCTCAAGAATGGGGAAGGTTGTAAGTATGAAGGATAATGTTTGGTGGGAGAAGTATGTTAGTATGGAAGCTATGGAATTATGAATGGATGGTTTTGACTAACACAAATTGGTGGGGATTAGTGATGCTAATGATAACACTTGGATCAACTCTAAATATGATGGTGGTTGATTTGGAATTATGTTAAAAAATTCATTTATTTATATCCTGATAGGGTGCAAGGAAGAACGGGACCCTAGCCAGAATTAAAGGCAAGGAATATTTTGAGAATTTGAAACTTCAACAAGTAAGTGAATAGCATCCCCTTTAATTTATTTTTATTTGTATTTTTATTTTTAATAGACTTTCATTGAAATATTTTACACTTATGAATTACATTAGTTTTGAAACTTTGAAATATCGATACTAGATAGTTGGAGGATGATTTATGCATTTATTTCCTCAAGGAATATATTTTAAAGATTTATAAAATTATTTGGTTTAGTAAACTTTTGAAAGCCTTAGTTATTCAAATAACGCAAGCTTGTACATTATTTATGAAATGCTATTTTCAACAAGTCTTAAATTAAAATTTAAAATAATTCATGCGAGTTTGATATTAAAAATACAGATTGTATTTCAGAAATAATTATTCTTCTCGCATGGCTGATACGTGATTTTTGAGAGAACTTTAAACAGAACACTGCTGCTAACAGTAGTTAAACGCTAGCTAGTTTGTTTTGTGAGTTTTATTCTCACGTCTGGTATTCGTGAGCTTTGTACCTGTATTTGGTTATTTACTCTCGTGGACTGTGTGTCTATGTTTGTTTCGTAGCTTCGGCTGCGTTTGATTACTTACCCTCGTGGACTGGTGTATCCACGTTTGTTTTCATGGCATAAGCCGCATTTAGTTATTTACCCTCATGGACTGTGTGTCCACGTTTGTAACCTGTTCTGTTGAGTTCTCAAAATTTTAAATGTTGATTAATATGTGTTTTTTGAAATTTACATGATTTTGACTAGCAATTGTACCACTTTGAGTTATATGTGAGTAAATTGTTTTCTTTAAGCATGATAACAGAAATTGTTTTCAATTTACTCTTATTTTACAATTATGGTTATGACTTATAGGCTTATAAATTTTTTAATGGAATTATTTTTAATTAGTTGACACCATTATTAGAGTTTGTTGATTTAAATTTTAAGAATTTTACCATGAGAATGCTATTCACTGAAAAATTTATTTTGGCCTCAAATTTGTTAGCTGACGCTAATCCCACTATCGACCTCAAAAGGGCAAAATAGCTACAGTGAGTGGAAATTTTTGATTGGCACTATTACTTTTAATGTAAATATATAATTCGTATGTCTTTTTGATTT